AGTTCTGGAATGAGTATGCCATGAATGCCTTTGATGTGTTTCCGCTGGCGCAAAGAGTCTGGTAGTATGATGAGAATAGGCTGGTGCTGTTAGGTGTTAATCCATCAATGTCGATCTCTTCAACCACGCATCCTTTCCCACTGTCGTATGTGACGCCGTGTGAGTCGTTACCAACTAAAGCCGGCTGGCAGTCAAGACTCGAACTATACATTGTGGTTTGCGCTGTCCAGTTGCTCTTGAAGGATGCCGGTCCCGCCTGTTGGCCTATTTCGAACGGTATGAAAGCGGCATCCCGCGTTGTAAAACTTGGCAGCTTCTGATCCAGCCACAGGGTGCTGTACGCATTCAACATGAACCCTCGGTTGAGAGATGAGCTCTGTTCCACTACAGGTAGAAGGCCGGCTGTGTGAGTCACACTTGTGGTTGTAGACAGGCTGACAACGCGGTATTCAAACACCGCGCCGCTGAGTGGTGTGATTCCACAGAATACTATTGTCGACACGAACCACGCAATGACCACACTCCAATGTCTACGATGATTATCAGTGACGAAAGTTTCTGGAAGGGTTACTGCGTACCTTAATCGTAACGCTTTGATGGGCGGTACGATTTCGAGATCGAAAGGATAGTGAAGAAAGATCGAGTTGGCCGGCGAAGCTCCTTCGACTTTTGACATCTGGAAGTACGGCTCGAGTCGTTTGGTATCGAGAGCAATCCACGCCCATATCATACTGTACATGACTGCGAGGATGGTTGGGAGATAGAAGTAGGTGAAAGTCGTAAAGTTCGAGAAGTCCTGCTCGGCGAAGACAATGCCGCCATCACGACGGCTTTCGTGAGAGAGGTATTCAAAGATTGCGACCAATATGAGCGGAAAAGCTATGAGGCATACTAGCGAAGGCCCGCGCAGAGTCACAGGTTTCCAACACGGATCGAGTACTTTTACTAACAGAGATTAGAATGCTAGATCACACTGGCAGGCGCTAGTACCTCGAGGTTTTCTGTTAGGAAGATAGGTGCAGAATAGGCACCAGAGTCTAGAGAGCCGCTGCCAAGCACTGCTGGCTCTGCTCATCTCGACCAGATCAGCCACGACAGCGATTCGATGCCCGAGGTTTGGCAGCACGAATGTCAGAACAGGCTCAGTGTAACAGGCTCAGGGTAGCCGGAGATCACAGAAGTAATAGGAAGAAACGGCGCATCCCAAACACTAAATAGGCCCTAATGTGCATGATTTCAAGAAATGGAGAAACTCCAGAACACCGTTGCTCTTTCTGAGCTGGAGCCGGGCTGAGGCTGACGCCGGCGCGGTCCATTGTCCGCGGCGATCGGCATCCTGTTTGCTTGTCTTAGGGGGCGGAGTCAGTAGCGAAGTGCAGGTAGAGGAGCGCGAGAACCGCAGGGAATGGCTCAGCATTGAGGCACGAAACAATGCCCACGGGCCACCAGTACTTTCACTTGGACACCCACCGCCGCAGAACTGAAACCTCGGATGCATGAGTAGCAGGCTAGAAGATGGCTAATACTGCAATGTCTGAAACAATTTCTGGGACTGTGGATTCCTACGTAGGATGCAGGGTAGTATTCAGGATCTCAACTTGCAGAAGGAGCAGCAGGAGGCTGTAGATGAGCTAGTCTGCTCCCTAGCGCACGCAGAATAGACCCCTCATTGCTCGCTCGCGTAGTCTGCTGCTTGGCAAGAATGTTGTTAGAGGTATTTAGTTCGTATTAGGTTCGATTCCTAATGGCGCTGGTACAATGGTGTTGCGGTGCTTCTTATTTTCTAAGAAGACTTTCATTCTACCGCATGTCGAGATACCCGCTACTCAATGACCAGCTATGCTACGCCGAGGCAATTTGGTCAAAGATTGCAGACCCTCATACTGGAAATTTTGTCCTGGCGGTGTCAGGTAATATCGGGCTTGATCACAGCCTCCACTATTCGGGAGAACGGATCCGTTGATGTACAAGTCGAAAATCGTAACCTCATTCGTAACTACGGACATGATAAAATTCCTTGAGACTTCGAAGCTGGTTTTGGCGTTGGACTAGTAATCGGCGAATCTCCTCATTGGAAATATCTCATTGACTAGAAGCCTCAAACCTCCCAGAATACGGTCACCCTTACTCCCTCAATCACTGTCACAGTATCGCTCCCAGTATCGCTCCCATTGATCCAGCCATGATTCGTCACTCTAGGCCATACACCAACTTCATCTCCCACCTGCAAGCCCCTCACGAACTCCGCTCTATCCCTCCTGTCCACGACATCCAAATCCTTCATAACTTTGGCGAACTCCTGCCTTTGGACCTCCCTTAGATTTCCACTGGTCAGCGCCCACCTGTCCCATGACGAGCCTAATTCATCCGAATGAGCACAATTCTTGTCATCGTCGAATCGGTAGATCGCCGTTGTCTTTGCAGATTGGCCTTCGAGGTTATCATTCACATACAGTTTCAGCGTTAGGCATCCTGACACGCGAGATGCTTGTTGTTTGAGCCAAGCCAAAGACGCCACATCGCAAGGCCAGTTTAATTCTCTGTTTTCACCTCCCTCACGCTTTTGGGGGCGGAGTGGGGAAACCTGTTCTTCCCGCTTGGCCTTTGACGGGGAAAGCGAGCACGGCTGTGGAAGAGGGATACTGGGGTCAACAACGCCGATTTCAAGCCAAGTATGACTAGGTCGAAGGAAGAGTGGACATTGAGGGACTCGCTGGGCGGGTGTGCCTCGGCGGGCTGTGACTTCCACACTGAGCATGCGGGCTGGATGCTTTGTCTTTGGGGGAAGCCAAGGCTGCGAGATGTCGGGTGATAGTCCCAGCGGCGGTGACCGCAGAAGAGGATCCAAAAACGCTCTAGAATTCGGAGGAGGCGAGATGTGGGTGCTATGTCCTTTAACAGTCCGCGGGACGGAGGAAGAAATGGATACATGAGGCCAATAGTTTGCAAGGGAGAGGATGATATCCACGAGTTCAATAGGAAGGGCTCGCATAAAGTGATGCTTGAGAGCAATGACCTGAGGGAGCGTGGGGTGACGCGACCAGTCTAGCCATGATGGCGACTCGGCCACTGGCTTTGCGAAGGGTATTTGCGTGTTGGCATTGCTGCTCTCGTTTGACGAGGGCGCACTACTGCCTTGCCCTTTATCCCATGTGATTGGTACAGGCTGTCTGTACATGACGTTGCAACAATTGTTGATCAGCGCTGGTAAACAGACTATTGATACAGGCCTATTTAATTGTTTGTTGAGCTGTATGAACTATTACCCTAATCTTCTCGGGTACGAACTTGTCAGCTGATGGCTCACAGTATTGTGGAAGAGGAGAGGTTCGGGTTGGCAACCCTTTTCACAAGCTTTGAATTGCAATCAGCGCGCAGAGGATTCTAGGATTGCTAAATTCGAAAGGAATGGCAGAGAGTTTGTAGCACAGTTGAAGATTTGTGAACTCTGAAGAGGATGAAAGCTCGGCGGGACATCAACAAGCACAGCCTTATCTCCTCGCGGGCGTCTAGGCTCCTTTCAGCCTAGAGAATGAAGTCATCAGGGTCCCTAACTTTTGGCCCGAAACTTGACAGGGCAGGAGGGGTAACACGTAAACAGTTGCATCTTACCTCAATCTTCCTTCACAACCCACAATTACCTACGCCAGACACATACAGCAGCAACCATGGTCAAAGTGTTAGAAAACCGTGCCGTCGACCTCGACATTGTTCCAGGATCTAAAGACGGCGGGGAACTGAAAGATCAGGCCGATGCTATCACGTATGTTGATGCCCCACCTTGCAGCGCTATCTTTGAAGAACAGATAGAATGATTGCTGACTCTCCCTCCATCCTTCAGTGGTCAAGCGACACAAAATCTCCCTCCCGAAGCCCGCCAGCGAGTCGAAGGCCTTACGCAAGGTGCTACGGGCGTCGGCGCAGATGCTCTCCAGACCGTTGGTGGGGGCGTGAAAGGCATTGTCGATACCGCTGGTAACACTGTACGTCTCCTCCTCTCATTCTATACCAAACCCCCTGCCCCTAGCATGCATCCTCAAAACACTGCTAACCATGTGCCACGGCATCCAGGTCGGTGTCCTCGGCGGCGGCCTCAGCGACACCGTCAGCGGCGTAGCAGGAGGACTCGGCAAGGTTGCCTCTGGCGCGGGACAAACGGCCGCGGCACCTTTCACATCCGCAGAAACAAAGGAGGGCGGTGAGGGAGCTGCCGACTCTGCGAAGGGCGCGGCGGATTCTGCGATTGACACTGCGGGTGAGGCTGGAGGGAAGGCATCCGAGACTGCAGACGAGGCTGGAGGAAAGGTATCCGAGACTGCGGGTGAGGCGGGAGGAAAGGCATCCGAGACTGCAGGCGAGGCTGGAGGAAAGGTATCCGAGACTGCGGGTGAGGCGGGAGGGAAGGCATCCGAGACTGCAGGCGAGGCTGGAGGAAAGGTATCCGAGACTGCGGGTGAGGCTGGAGGGAAGGCATCCGAGACTGCGGGTGAGGCTGGAGGGAAGGCGTCCGAGGCTGCGGGCAGTGCGAAAGATACGGTTGGGGATGCCGCTGGGGAGGGACAGAAGAAGCTTGGGTTGTCGGAGTAGAGGGACTGCGGTGATGGTGTGACGGGTATGGAAATGGGTGTCTCTGACGATGGAAGGAAAGTGTTGCGTGTTGCCTCTTGCCTGTCGGACAATGGAGAGTAATCGGGTTTCACGTACACATTTTACCACGTATATGCACATGCTAGCGGTTCCGTTTGCTGATTATGCTATGCTCTTTCTTGGTGAGTTTGTGTGCATGTCTTGATCGTGTCCCTCTCGCGATGTCACAAGACTTCATACCTGCTGATCAAAATGAAGAGCCTGCCGAGAATCTAGGACTTGATTTCACGAGCTGGATACTCTAGTAGGAGCGCATCGCAGCTTCGACACCTTCGAAACGCCGTCTGTGCAGGCAGAAGCTGAGTCAAATTCTTTCGCATGCAGGACTGGACCTATGGTCATTCCTTCTCTTCTCATTCCTCCACCACTGCGTCCGCGTGCGCTTGCTTCTCTTCTTCCACGCTCGTCTGCTTCACTGTGTTCTTCTCTCGATCCTGCGCCGCCTGATCTCCATCCTCCTTCTCCTGCCCACCTTCACTGCTAATCTCCTCTTCCGACCATTCTCCCCCCTTTGCCTCGTCCCCTTTCTCCTCCAACGCCACGTCATCGATCCCTAGATTCGCCATCCCATCGATCACTTCACTCCCATTGACAGGGAATTTCTGCTTCAAGATACGTTCGTTGACAGCAGTGATCAGCGAATAGTAAAGGGATCCCAACGGGTCACGCCCAGTGATAGGGCAGCGGATAGCAGCCAGGTCTAATCCCATCATCCGGAATACCTCAAGCTGCCAGATGTCGTTTACTAAGACGGCTTGTCAGTCTTTCAGGTGAACATGCTGGACCCAGGCACTGGGTAGCGGTGCATCCATACGGTACAGCTTGATGTTCTCCCCTGCATCGATCGAAGGACAACCGCGCGCCATTCCGGAAGCCAGCTGCTCGTTCGCAACTTCAGAGAGCACGAAAGCCTTGTTGTTGAACACTAGCATGAGGGAAGTTAGTCCCCAGTTGTTCAGACTATGGTGGGAAAGAAGCTTACCAACATGGTGGTGAGGTCCACTCATGTCTTCCGACCACGGCTCATCGAGGGCATTGGGACGGGCGGCTTTGACCTCATCGTAGGCGAGGTTGATCTCAACGGGGCCGATAGCAAGAGCGAGCTTGGCGCGTAGGAGCTCGAGCTTGGGAGATGCGATTTGTGCCATGTTTTCGGAGTGTGTGGAAGGCGGCGCTGCAGTTTGAGTGGTGGTTATCTGAGAACGAAGCTTAGCTATGGACGAGGTTTATCTGGGGAGGGAAGAGGGTCAAGTGTTGTCTATTGAGATCTCACCTCGGCTGTTGAGTAGTATTATTTGGTCTGTAAAAGTTCCGATGTGAAGCTTGTGTGCGGTGGAGGAGTCTGAGTGAAAGTTGGGGAGTATCTGGTTTACGTAGAATTGAGTTGTTGACATGTTTCATCACAACAGCGCGACGAGACGATCATAATATTTCTTCTCAAGACCATACGCTGCAGATGTCCATCATGTTTTCTGTCATTTGATTGCAATGCCAGAAGCTTCCAGCGATTTTTAAGAATCTTTGCAATCGAGTGCTAATGTTATCTGACAGTGAGGGCGAAAACTAAGACGATTTGCTGAATCTGTTCACGGGATGTCCTAGCATTTACACAGTGTTTTATGCATTAGCCCTTCTGCTGCCTACGCCTTTGTCTCATTACCTGCAACTTTCCGGGAAGTCAGTTGGAGGTCTAGAAAAACTTGAACAGAATGTCTCATCGTCCTCAACATCACATTCTAATTTGTTAGGCTGGCCTGTAAAGGCCATAGACGTTTTTAGAGCAATTCCACTCCTAGCTGTATCCTTCGCTAGCAGTGTCAATAGTGCAATAGCGTGTTTCTGTATTGAGGAACCGGGATAATACATCATGACAGAACTGTCTTGCTCTATGACTTCTCATCTCTCAACTGCGTGTACACAGCCGTGTGAGCTCCTCTCTCAAGCTGCCAAGAGAACTTGTCCTGGTGTATTACCAGACCTGAACCTCTGTTTAAGTCACACCTTCGTTGTCTGAATTTGCTGCCTATAAAAAGGTACAACAAGCAAGAGGCAGCACCTAAGACTGTTCTGTTTTGTAGCTTCCAGGAGCATTGGAAGCGAGAGAGGAAAGACCAGCATTTTAGCGAACTCCGGGTAGCAAATGAGAATCACAGCACGTTCTCCGAGGATCGGAAGCTCGATACCTAATCATCATGACCACGCTGACACGCATCCCCAAGAAGTTTATAGGTCCTCTCCGACCATTAATAATGCCACCCCAAGCTACAACCTGCCACAGCAACTTCCCCCCATCCTTTGACCCAACTTGAACCCTCCTCCCCCCCGCTCCCCACCGTCCCAGCATCATCATCATCATGTCCGCCCCGTCTACCCTCGAAACCCACGGCTGGACAGCCCAACCGCGCGATGTCTCCGCCTTCCTCGGCGACAAGCAAGACCTCAAAGCGCCAGAACCTCAGACAGTCGCCAGCATCGCCCTCCCCAGCACCCCGCTCGCGAAAGCCGTGCTCGACTACGCGAAGAAGGAGCTCAGAGAGGAGACATTCAACCACAGCATGCGCGTCTACTACTACGGTATCCCCCCCCCGCCCGAAAGCATCACCACGCTCAACTGCCGGCGATCGCTAACGGTAGCGCCCATCTTCCAGGCAAAGCGATCCAAACCCACCTCACCCCCACGCACCCCCTCCCCGTCTCCGACGAGACCTACCTCCTCACCTGCCTCCTCCACGACATCGGCACCACGGACAAGCACCTCCCGGCCACGCTCATGTCCTTCGAGTTCTACGGCGGCTACCTGGCGCTCGACCTGCTGAAGAAGGACCTGCGTGCGCCGGTCGAGCAGGCGGAAAGCGTCGCGGAAGCCATCATCCGGCATCAGGATCTGGGCGTGAGCGGCAAGATCTCCAGTTTGGGCTTGCTGATCCAGTTGGCTACGATCTTCGGTGGGTCTTCTTTTACCCCCCCCCCAACCCCGCCCACGTGCGACGGAAGGAAGGAAAGACCGAGGCTGATACCGCGGACAGACAACATGGGCGGCAACGCGGAGCTCGTGCACAAGGGCACGATCGAGGACGTGGTGCGGCATTATCCGCGGCGGAAGTGGTCGGGCTGTTTCGCGGCCACGATCAGGAGGGAGAATGGCTTGAAGCCGTGGGCGCATACTACGGCGTTGGGGGAGGAAGCGTTCCCGGCTGGGGTGGAGAACAATGCCCTCATGGCTCCGTATGATGATTGAGGAGGGCTTTTTCTCCGACGAGTGGGGTGATATAGAGGCAGTAGGCCGTCGATGGTGCCATGTTGTACGCTCTAAGAGTACCGGTGTTGGTGTTGGAGATGGGTCATATCCCGGAGAAATCGTCGATAGGACGGGGCTATATCCCGGAGAAATCGTCGATAGGACAGGGCTATATCCCGGAGAAGTCGTCGATAGGACAGGGCTATTTCCCTTGATAGGGATTCTTCTAGTGCTAATCTTCCCTACAAAACCTCCTTAATACAACCTCTTCTCCTTTACGGTCGGTGATATCGTAGGCAAAGCGCCGCTTCACAGGCTCTGACCAGGGGTTATTTCCCCCACCAAATCATCCCCGAAGCGGACAAACCGGAGATTGAAACGCGCACGTCTACGGGAAAGAGCCCGACGACGAAGTCACCAGGGCGTTATTTAGATGAGAGAGGGACAAAAAGCTGTATTAACTATCCAGGCCGAACGCCATCGGAGAAGCAAGCACCACGGGTATCATCCCCTTCTGAACGCCAACTGCTAAAGTACACGAGTGGAATAAAATGAAAGACGCGCCAAAGATACGGGGATGAAGCCCGTCGTCCTAGCCCGTCAGACTGGCGTTGCCGTAGGCGAAGGCGTAGTTGCTGAAGTAGGTCGCCCCGACGGTGGCGGCGTAGGAGGGCGTGTCGACGCAGTAACCGCCGCCGGACGGGCCGATGTGCGGGCAGTGGACCGCCGGGCGGAAGGGGACCATGTTTTGATGGACCATGCGGCAGAGGAGGGTGTTGCGGCCTGGAGACCGTTGTTAGCGGCGCTTTGACGGGGAAGGGACCCGGGGGATACGTACCGAGCTCGTATGCTTCGCCGAAGCGTGTCTGTTGGGTGAGATAGGTGTAGCATTGGGTCGTGTTTTGGTACTGTTGGAGTGCGGGTCCGACGCAGTACTGTTGGGCGGTGCTACAGATGCTGATAGCGAGCTTGTTCTGGATGTAGCTCACGGTGTCCGCTAGGGTTACGTTCTTGCCCTCGACGGCCGACAGCTGTTGCGTTGCCGTTCCCAGAAGAAAGTCAAATAGCCACTGCCACCAGCCCGTGAAGCTGGCGTCATACATGGAGATTTCGCCGGCGGGGTTGTACACATTCCAGGTCTGGATCACGATTGGGACGGTCATGTTGATGGCCTGGAAGAAGAATTGAAAGCTACACACAGAAGGACCTCAGTGTCTGTTGCTGTGAACGGCGTTGACGTGGGGCAAAAGAGGGGGGGAAGCGAGGCATACAGAGTAGAAGCCGAAGCGATGTTCTGGCTAGCTGCGAAGTGCGTGATCTCGTACGACATCGGAATGCCGAGTAGAGAGAAAGCGTTGGAGTCGTTGGTGGAGGTCGCTAGGTTGGCAAAGAGGCCGAACAGGTACTCGGTATTGAGCTCACGGCCATCAAAGGTGCGTGTGATATCAACACGGCCTTGAACATTGTCGGCCAGCAAAGAGGAGTTGATGGACTTGGCCTACGAGAGACGTCAGTACTGGTAGATCTGAGGTGTGGATCTGAGGTCCGGAGTAGAAAACCTCACCTGAATAGTATTGTTCGGTGCGATAAAGTTGTCGAGGAACTTCTTCTGTAGAGTGAAGAGCTCGTTGTGGGTGAAGTTCTTCTCCTGATTGTCGTTGCGGGCGATCAGAGTCTTGGTACGTGTCTGCTGGTCTGCAAGACGAGGTGCGAGGTGAGGGAGTTGACGTGACGCGTGAGGATACTGAACGCTGGACAAGGCGCTCACAGAGAGAGCCAAAGCACCCAGGACGACGGTGATAATCTGCATGTTTGCTGTTCTTGTGGGTACAGAGGTTTGCTGTGTTGGTAGAAAGGAGTGAGGCTATGGGGTTGATGGTGGATGAAGAAGAATTGTGAAGGGTTGGTGGGAGTTTTAGAAAAGAGAAAGCTTTGTCAAGAAAATTTCATCTTGTGTCCTAGCCTCGCTAAGTCGTCGCGATGTGGTGATGAGCAAGTGACGTTGAAGTGACGGGGGTATTATCCCAAGCTCTGAGTGTTGGAAGCTCAAATTTTTTTCTACTTTAATCAGAGACGCGGAAACAAATGAAAACTATGCGACTAGGTTCATGCTATTACACACTCTATTCTCCTAGTTGTTGGGCCTAGCAGCTGTGCCTCGTCGTCCACCACTCTGGCCTTGGAGGTGAGTTGGCGGCGTGGCGGCCACACCCGCCATTGAGGGGGTGGTTCGGGCAGGCATGACTAGCTTGCCGTATGGTGGGGTTGCAGGAGTGGTTTCGGAGAGGCTCTATTGCTATTTCACAAGCATCATCTCGATAGTTGCGATGCACAGATGGATGAGGGTTATGGCAGCGGATGGCATGGAGAGAGAAGAAAGAAGTTTAAAGGTCCAATGGCATTTGGCGCCAAGTCTTCTCCGCACCACGGCTGTAGCCGGAGCGGCAGAGGAACTCTTCTCTTGGCATACTCTCAGGTACTCTACTTTACTCTTAGCAACAGCAATGTCGAATTCTTCCTGCTACCCAATGTACTTTACATGTATGATGTACCTACTCTGGCATCGTCCCAGTCTAGGTAATGAATGACATGAAGCATTCGGAATTGGGATTACAGTTGCAAAACTAAGGAGAGCGGCGTGATGCTGCATTGACAGGTGCTTGGGTTACACTTGATGGAATGGATGTGCAAAGTTGTGTACCTTAGTCAGAGACGTCCTTTACCTTCTTATCATTTACATGCATATTACAAATACCGTAATGTAACTTGCATATGGTAAAGCATAGAGTATAGGATTGCCCAGAGTAGAAGTCGGAAACCCAATTGGAGCAGATCTGAGCCTGAGGTTCCATTGGTTATGCAGGCTTGTTTCAGGGTCTGCATATTTTGAGGGTCTAGATCTTCAGTCATCCCGCTCATTCCGCACATCCCGATCATCCCGCTCCTGGTGGAAGGGGCGTCACTGATAACAGCGGCGTCATCATGCACCTTCCCGGAGCTCCCTCAATCTACCACCGCACTCACTGTACACGGCAATATCGAGTCAGGCTATCATGGGAGACGTGGCCACAGGTTCTCCTTCAAGGAAACATATAGGGCAAGGTTGGGAGAAGACTGACAAACGAGTCGAAGCATAAAATGGCGCACGCTGTGAAGCCCACCACCTAGAATCTAAGTAATGTAAGCACTTCAAGACGCGCGTCAAGGCCCTCATCTCGGCCTGCTTTCTCGGGAACATGGGTACCTGCAACCGTCGAACGGATCTTCCCATGCATAATTTAATGCACGTCAGAACCGGCTTTAAACCCCGATGTCATGCAATACCCCGTGCCTCTTTGATCTTCATACATTAAGGTAACCATCCCAATGTACCCTACTCGTCTCCAAAGGGAATCGCAATATTACTTTATCAAGAACAATTCCTCGTCCTGTGCAGAGATACATGCATTAAAAGTTCCGCTCTGGAGTGGGCATTAACAGGAGTGGTGGATTTTCATGCCGGAAAGGAAGATCTCGGCGCATCACGAGTACAAGTGCAGCCTCCCCTAGTGAATGAAGATCCAAACGATTCACATTGCACCGAAGTATCTGCTGGCTAAGAGCAAGTCATGGGCACGCTATCAGAGTGACACTGAAGGAGGTTGTACATGTAATAATTGTCAGGTTGGATGACAACAATGTACTCAAGTCATCCGACCCCGCTGTGTCTTCGAGGATTGAGGTAGCTTCGATGGCGTAACCTTTGCATGGTACGTACCCCGCAAATCGCACTCTAGGACAAGAACATCTGGGCGAGCTCGCGTTGTTCTGCCTGGGAGCTTCTCCTACCTGGGGGAAAGCTAGACAACGAGTAACTTCCTAAACATTCCAAGCTTACCGCTGACCGGACTCACAAGCCCGTATTCAAAGAAGACATGCAGAGAGAATGCGGAGAGTCGCTGGAAGACATCTTCCAGGAGGAATTAAAACGTACGTTTAAAGGGGCGGTGGAGGATCTTTAGTCGAACCGACAAGACGGTAGACCCGACAGCAACAAGCGCAACATCCGACTGCTACAAAACAGCTATCAAGTCCAATGCTGTCTTTTTAACATTGGGTTGGGATCCAAAGTTGAGATGCTTCTCCGATCTGCGCCGTTTCCCTTCTCTCGCTCTGCATAAATGTCCTAGCAAGCCCGATTCTTGCTTTGCTATCAGGATCGACTTTGAACATGGTACCCGGCAATAACACCCCACCACCTTTAGGGTAAGCCGTATCTTCCCTTCCAATGGCCGAGAAACGTCGGCTTATAAGTGTTCCATCAGCAGCATGCGTCCTCATCACCCTGTCCACCTCACAGGGGATTGGGACGGACCAGGACACATCACTGTCACATTCTCCAACTACGGCGACAACATCCCTCGCGACCTGGCAAGGGTTTGCACGGCTCGCGCTTCCATCGACGCATGGCGCAAAGTCCGCACGGTCTGGAACGAGCCAATTGGCAAGAGCGTACTCGTTTATGACCATTCGGACGTCTTCCTTCACATCATGCCCGCCCCTGCAATGGACTGGAAAATGCTGTATTACGTTTCGCTGGTGTTGGACAACTTCGAGGACGGGTTTGACAGTATGGCCTTCGACTTTGAGGCGGAGGTGCCAGGGGTTGAAGGGTTTGCGGCGACGGGGAACCTGACTATGTTTCCTCCTTTGGCACCCTCTTGATGACGAATCGCCGGGAGCCACATGCTTTACCGCCAGGCATACGACGCTCAGCCGCCAGATGATAGATCGAGTCCATCGTTGACTCCTACCCAAACTGTCGCACTGACGAGTACTTCATAGCACTCTCGAGCAGCTTACTCCGCAAGACTCCAACCACCCCGCACCTCCTACCCCTCAACCCCTTCCCCCCCTCCCTCCTTAGCAGCATCCACCTCCACAGCGCCCCATTGCCAACGATGCCGACACCTCGCACCCCACATCCCCATTCTCCCTCAAACCAACACCCGCATCCATCCCCGGACATCGCACCGCAACCCTCCTCCTCCTCTCGACCCTCTACGTCCGCAACGCCACCGCGTCGCCGCAGCCGTCTCACGTGTCCTTCCCGTGCCGTGCTCGCAACACGATCGGAAGCCGCAGGTTATGCCGAGGTCGTGGCCGGCGGACGGGATAGACGGGGAGCGGAGGCGGGGACGGGCTCCCGAAGCCTTGACCCCCGCGTCGAGGCTTCGTTTCCTCTCAGTCAGCTAGCGCGGCGGTCGGGTGGCGGATGCGACATCCTCGTTTACCTTGCAGTTCCTCTGCGCCCTAGAAGAGATACTGCGCGGTTGAGATATCTCTCTCGCGTTCGATACACGGTCCGCCCGTGGCGCTCTAGCTCACTCACTATGCACGCTTGTAAACCCCACTGCCGTGCCGCGCCGGCGGTGTCTTAAGAGTGCAGTCGCGGTCTGGGAATCGTCGACGGTTTTGTTTGGACCATTCATGCAGTCTTGGTATATTGTAACAAGTGAGCGAAAGCAGAGCCAGTCGCGCACGTTCCATCCCTTCCTTCCTTCCCTTCCTTCGTTCCATCCCTTCCTTCCTTCCTCCCGGCGCAGACGCGGCACTCTTGATGTCCGAATTTCCCTTCACTACCGGCGAGGATGGTGCCACGCCGTCGGAGAGGCTTCGGGGGCTTGGGTTTCCCATCGCCCGTGATATTTGGTCGACGCGGTCGTGATACCTTGAGCCACCGTCGCTTGGGCTGGAAAGGGGACTTTTTTTTCGCGGGCCGGGCTGGGCTGGGGTGGGGTTATGAGATGTGCGCGTGGTTGGGGCGTGGGTTGGGACTGGAGGTGTGGATGGGAGGTGTGGATAGGAGCGTTGGAGAAGGTTGGAGTCGGAGGGTTTGGTGTTGGGGAGGGGCGAGGATTTTGGTGGGCGGAGGGGCATGGGGAGAGAGGTTTGGGGGAATGTGGAGGGTGGAAGGGGGTGGGGAAGGAGGGAGGGAGGGAGGGGTAATGATGGGGTTGGGGGATGGCATCATGGGCTTGTTATACTCACTACTCGCAGGTGTTAGAATACTACCATTGACCCATCGGTATCAGACTTAAGCGCATTCAGACCCGCTATCACACACCTCACGAGGTAGGCAGACATAACATACGCGCTAATGGAAAGAGGGATCTCAAACACCATCACGTGACCAGCTCGCGGTTCCGAACCCTCGTCTTTTCCATCTCGTCCTCCGCTCGTATCCCGAAAAATCCTCTCAGTCAGTCCTCCAAACCGTCCCTAAGGACCTCCTCTCCCCTCCCCTCCCCTGCACAGTGGTCGACAATGCCTCAAGCGCGTCTTCCCCTCAACTTCCTCCCTCTTCGCCATCTCCCGTCCACATGCGAACAGGCACTTTGATATCCCCCCTCCTCCCATACCCCAGCAATAAATCACCTCAGCCTCTACGTCTCTTTTCGAGTCCAACCCCCCCGCTCCACAACCCATCTACCCTCCCCGCATCAACCCGTCGCGAAAATGGGCTCTCGGATGCACCGCCGTCATCGTCTCCATCGCGCCTGCATTGGCCCCTACGAAATCTTCCCTGTTTCGACTTTTTCTTTTTCTCTTGCCCGCATACGTAAGGTACCCATTCCACCCCACCCTTCGTCCAGCGCCCCAGATCGGGCTTTCCGCACAAAGATCCATTCGAGGAGCGAGCCGGGGGATACCATACGGTGAAACGCGGCAAGATTTTTGCGTTCGGGTTCCGTGTGCCGTCGGAATCCATATCCGCGCCCCCCCCCCCCCGAATTCCGGCTCGTACACCGACGTGCAGCGGTCGCTCTTTCGGCAGGGCGGCGCAAACGATGCTCTCGCCTGACGCGGTCCGGGGATGCGGTAGGCGTTGGGGTTGGAGACGGTGTGCGCGTTGGGCGTGTGGGGTTGGGATGGTTGGGGGGATTTTTTTCGGTCGGGGTGGAGAGAGAGGGTGAGAGTAGGTTGGTTGGTTGGTTTGAGTGAGTGGGTGATTTGGGTGCTTGGGGTTTGGGCGAGGGGGTGGGGGTGGGGTCGGAGACCGGCACGTGCGCGAGCTGGGGTGGCTGGGGAGGGGAAGGTGGCGGGTTCGGGGAGCCGGTTGTGGGGGTGAGGGGTTGGCTGGCTGGAGGGGGAGATGGAGGGACTGGGGAGATGCCGTGGAGGTTGGAGGTTGGAGCAATGGGTCTTCATCTGGAGTGGTTGTTGGTGAATGGGTATAATATGGTGCAAAGGCTATGTATGTATCGGTGATGTCTACTATGAGATGTGCTTCCAGCGCTCAGGGGCGCTGTTACTCGCTCGAGGCTCGGTCCTATGGCATATCCCGCACGAGAGCCGGGCTACCGCCTCTGAAGGAAGAATTTGTGGAGGATTGGTTCTTCAGTGGAGTTGCGTTCAGTAGTACTCTTCAGCTGCCTGAACTACATGCCGTGCCGTTCGTATCGCGGATTTGAAGCTTGGAACAGCTCGCTGGGGATGCGTAGGTCCGATACTGGACTGGAGTTCTTCTTCGCAGTCATGTTATTTTACACATGATGCTACACCACAGAGCTGGTAGATAATGTATGCAATTTGTGGACACAGTTTCAGAGTCAAATTTGATTCCAGGCAGCAAGGCATGATCTTTTTCCGAGGGGAAAGTATAGAACAAAGCGGGTTTTCCAGCTCGGCGAGGGCAATAAATTACTGAGGATTGTAGATCATCGGCCTGGACGAAGACTTATTTCACGGCGTGCTTGTAGGAAGTCGAAACAGATTCAACGAGGAAAGGTGCACGAGGAGCAGTGGTGCGTTAAAGGGAATGCTAGGGCCTCGCTTCCGGGCAACCTGTCTCTGGGCCGTAATCCTACTTACGTGGGCGACCACATCCTTCTCCATCACACCCAAAAGTCTATGAACACCTTATGCTTTATCAGTCTTCGATTCACCCCTAACATGAGGACTCTAGAGGTGGACACGAGCCTGCCGCGGAACCGTCCAGTGCTAGTGGCTGTCGCAGGTGCAAAGCCTGCTGTCTCAGGATCAAGCCCCGCTTAAAAACCAGTCGGGGGTGGTGTTTCGATCCGTCCCGCTGGGAAGGATGAAACACTTCGCCTCATCATCACACACCATCAGCGTTGCAGTACAGCATAGCTTCATCGTTCCCATGCAGCCATGGACCTGCGGCACTGTCAGTGATGGGCTGGTTCCCTGAATAGGCATATAATCTTGTCGGTGATAGGTTGTGCCGACGTTTGGCCCCCATCGGGGCAGGCGTGGCCTTACCACAATCCACCAATGCTGACGATAGGTATCTTGCGCTGGGGTATGAGAAAGTGCCTGTTCGGGCTTCTGATCTGGCCTGTTCGGGCTTGCTGTTCCCGGCGTGAGACGGCCCGACCGCTTGTTTACATCCTATGTGGGCCCTATTTGTGCATGTGATGTGTGGTTTTTAAGATTGGGACAATTAGCATATCGTTGGTTACTCCCAAATTATCACGTTGCAATCAAAGGTCTGTCCGTAAAGCTCGGAGGTCGTCCTGCCATATTGTCCACCTGAAAACCAGTAACTAGGTCCAATACGCCTTGCCGTTCTACACCGAGGAAAGTTTTTTGAAGTTTTGCAGTTGCCGTGGAAAAAGAAAGGAAGCAGATGGAGACCAAAAAGAAAAGAAGGAGACGTCTGCGCTCCGATATCATGCGCTTCTCTCATGCTCGAGCAAGGCTTTGGACAGATGACGGGGAAAACGCATTCTGAGCATGGAAATGTCGGAGTCAGATAATGATGATTTTAATGGCAGAGTGATCAAGGCAAAGAGGGGTCTGCGGACTCCAGGTTGGATATACTGTTGTACATTCTCGTGGCGAAACCCCTTTCACCTCGTCGTGCTAATTTAAAGACTTTGAAGTGCTCTTCGCCTTTTCTTTCTCTTTCTCCTTCTCTTTTCCTTTCGGCTCCTTGGCAGATTTTTTCACTTCCTTCACCTCTTCGCTACTATCTTGATCGTCCTCATCACTAGATGGTTCTTTTTTCTTCTTCCTACTCTCTTTGTCCTCCTTGCTCTTCTTCGTAGGTGGAGTATCCTCGTCGGACGTAGACTCTTGCTTCGTTTTCCCCTTTTTGCTCTTCTTGAATTGCGGAGTCTCTTCCTCGGAAGTTGACTCTTGCTTCGCCTTCCCCTTCTTACTTCTCTTCGTCGGTGGCGCCTTCTGCTTCTTCTTCGTCTTCTTGCTGGCTCTGGCAGGCGGCGTCTCTTCGGAGTTGCTCGCCTTGTCTGCGCTGCTGCTATCAAGCTCGGAGCTATCGCTGTCACCAGATTCATCCTCTGACTTCGGTTGGCCTCGCGGTAGCTGGCGCTGTGCGATTGCTGCTTGTTTTTTCTCGGCCTTTTCCGGATCGTCTATCCGGATCTTGTTTGCCTCTGCCTGTTGGCTCTCGCTGCGGCCGTGCGTCATCCTCAAGTATTTGTCGAAATCCCTACTCGCGCTTGCCACCTTTCCAAAATGCCGTTCGGTGAGCTCGGTCTTGCCGCCGTTGAGAGATCCAGCTACCCAAGACCAGGATCATATCCTGCGTAATCGATGGGATATCATTGTACGAATCGACAGACGGAGATGCCGATCTCCTTTTCGCCTGGCAAAGACTCAATCGGCTCCTCGCCCATAAAACTCTCAAGGCAGTCATGAAGCTTCCGGCCACCAGCCCTGGCCAGACCTTTACGCCTTCACGAGGAAGTTGTCATGACGAGTGGCGATGTACTTTACATACCTGAAGGAATCGACGGGGACAGACAGGGGGGCCTGGAACACGGCAGATATAGACGACAGCTTCAATCAGTCATTTTCATCGGAGAAATTATAGGTACGAGGATCAGATATAGATTTCACAATTCAGAGGATGAGGGTCTTTTCAAGGGTTCGGGTAGAGCTTTCCCTGCCCGGGAGTCATGCATGGCGTTTGCTCTTCGCGACCTCTTTGTTGGTCTAGAGGGAGTCCACTCCTAGGTTATCGGAACCATATACCCCCCTTCAGAGCAGTGATCGCATATCCAGATACAGCATGAAAAATAATTCCGTAAACACTCACATCTACTCCAGCAATACTGAAGCACGGAAATTCATGACCGAACGATAGACTCCTCCCGCCAAACTTTCCCACCGGTCGTGATTTCCCAGCCACCGTAACGGCCCCTGAATCTCTCTCTGCGATCCAACCTCATCTGAATCAATAAACCCCTACAGCATTGGCACATGAGACCATTTGCCGGAAGTCATCAAACCCTTCCGCATCGCATCGCACCCGGCGTAAAGAGCAACGGCAAGGGCGCGGGAGGAGCTTTCTTTCGTTGAACCGGGGGCTCGACTCTAACACCGAGCGAGCGTACGCACTGTGCATCTTGGGATGTACGCGTATAGGACAGGAAGGTGACGGGTGGCGAGATTCCGACACGATGGGATAGTTATAGAGATGGAGCGTGGGGATCTGTTGGAAGATGTGGCATACTCTCCGCAAGAGGGCGGGTTACATTTTCATACCCCCAGTAGGGGCGACTTACAAAATTCATACCCTATTTTTTTGGGGAGGGGTATGAAAGTGTGAGGTGGGGTATGAATTTGTAAGAATATCATAGTTTCGGGTATGAATTTGTAATTTGCAGAACTCATCTTTAGTTGTCCCATTCATGAAAAACACGCATCAATGCACGCATAGGGGCCCACATAGAGTGTAGATAGTGGTTGGGCCGTCTCACGCCGGGGATAGCAAGCCTAAATAGGCCTAAATAGAGGCCTGAACAGGCATATTTCTCGTACCCCAGCGCAAGAAAACTCCCATGCCTATGGCATAGACCTGGAGTGGAATGATAGCTAGCTATATACAGGTGTGGGTGGGTGGGACAAAAAGTATGCAATGATTTGAAAGAGATGAAATCGAATGAAAAGCCATTGACAGGTGCAAAACAGGTGGCTATATAGCTCGTACTGGACACCTGTCTCCTACCCCTTGCAGGGGTACCGACAGGGCCATGAAACAGGGGCATGTCATGTGACCCACTAACACCCAGTCCCACTGTGGCGAATAATTTCTGCTGGGGCTCACTACGTGAATGCTAGAGACATCGGCCATATCGGGTTAAGAGGCTGCGGTTGTCTGGATAGAGTAATCTGTGATGACTGCTCATGCGCAAATGGAAGAAGTCGCGAGTCTATTGTGTGTGGGAGCGATGGAGGCCTGAAATCCTGTCCGCGTTCAGTCACATACCCATCGAGCGCGCGTCGCCGATCAGCCCAACAGTGAGACAACTCGAAGCCGTAGCAGCCACAGAGACCTTTCTATATCCCCTTCCACCCAAACATCTCCCGTAGATACGTCCACCATTGGTCTCTCTCTTTGGATAGAGCGAAGGCATGGGCGCCACCACCCTGCGATTCATCCTTCCTTGAAACTCGCATGTAGAGCTGTCCGAAGTAAACCCATTCCAAATCTGGAATTTCCATCGCATAGTTCCTCGCTTCGGACAACATGCCTGTAGCATCATTAGTCTTGTTCGGTGTGAGCCAGAAAGCTTATCTGTCTTTGACGCACTTTCACAATGCCAGGTTTCCCATTCGTCCTCGTCTGCGTCAAGATCGAGATCGTTGTGGAATCTATCTTCGTAATATCTTTCCGGGGCAGACCACTCGACCTCGTTGTCATAGATGTCACGAGTGAAGGCCATCCGCCTCAGAGAGGTCAATTTCTTTAATCGGCTCCTCATTAGCGCATGATCTATGAACCAACTGTACCTCCAACCGTGTTGATGACCAGCGCTGAGATGGAGCTGTTGAAGAATTTCCAATGAACTAATTGCTTCGAGCGCGGAACCTGGGATCGAGTCACCCTCCCATTTTAATGATAGCGAGGTCAAGTGTCGAAATGATTTCGTGAGCAGAGGAAGCAGCCGAGTCTCGAGGAAAACGCCTGGGGCTTCCCATTGGAAACTAAGCTTCGACAACTGGGTGTTCGCTTGCAAGAAGCTGAGAGATTGGTCGGCTTTGATCTTTCCATCCCAGACCAGCGTCGTCAACGCAGGCATAGTACCACGTTGTTCGAAGAACTCTGAGTATAAGGAATCGTGTCCTGGGTCTACTTCCAGTTCACGAAGATCACCTTCCAAAAGGGCGTCTAGCATGGAGTAATCAGAGAATAAGACGGTTTGAAGCTTTAGACTCCTCAGGCGTGGAAACTGTGGCGTTGACTCCATTGTGTAAGTAGCAAAAGAATGATGCTCATCCTCAATTAGAAAAGTTCGCCACGTCAAAGACTCCAGCGTCGGCGCACAGAGACGTAGTATACTAGCGCACATCAAAGACGTGTTAGGTTTATCTCCGTCGAATCCAGATACGACTTCCATGTAAAGAGTGCGCAGTGGCCAACCCTTCGATGGCCTGGGGAGATTGATCTCAAATGCTTCGCTAACCTTGACACGAAATAGCCGAAGATGTTGGATGGAGGTGGAGGGAAGACGTTCGAAGAACGAGCGCGGAAGGGCTATCTTGTCACGCCAATCCAGGGATTCGAGGTGTGGGAGAACGATCTTTGAGCCTAGTAGGAGCTGTATCTTTGGGAGATAGACGTCAAAGAAATGCTTGCTTGCGTTGGCTAGCCGCCTAGCTCTCGTTCGCTCACTAAGCGCCAAAAATTTATCTTTAAGGGCGATGTTGTGGCGCGCAGCTACCCAAACAGGATGAGTGGCCACCGTGATACGCCGGATGCATACCCCAAGAGACTGAGAAATGTTCTTGGAGCCTCCATAGCTCCCTACGCGGATGGTGGCTTCAGCCAAGAGTTTTTCAACCAAGGCTACACTGTGATCGCTGTAGTCCAATGTGATGCTTGCGAATTGACGTGAGCGTGCTATTTGCCGACAGTCGCGACAAACAAGGGCGAGACATGCCAGAGACGACCTTGGCAGACTTTCAAGTATCTGCCCTAGAAGTTCGAACGGTAAGGTGAAGAGCAGAGCGTCTGACACCGGAGCTTTTCCTTCGTTCACTCGGTCGAAGGAAAGTGGTCGAGGAGGCACCACTTCTGTTCCGAGGTTGTCGTTTGAGAGTGACAACATGGGAATAAGTAGATGCATGATATCCCTGTCAAAATCCATGGTGAATAGCCCAGAGAGTTGAGGTGTATATTTGATGGTAAATGGGTATTTTCCTGGAAAGAGTTTCTGGGATCGATGTGCATGAACTGGTTGTGGGAACAGTCTCAAACTCTGGGGAGTGTCGAGAAAGCGGGAGGCCGGCTTCTATCCTCTCTCTTCGATTTTGACCCGCTCCTTTTCCGGGAACCAGTCGGACCCTCGCGCAGGTGCTTTGCGTCTATGGAGGGTGTCAAAGACACGACGATCAGGACTCTGAGTCGGATTCCTCGAGTTCTCACTAACAGGTGGAGGACCTGAGATTCGGAGCAGGACAGTTCACGGGCACGCGCAGAGGAAATGATACTTCAATTTGTCCTTCCATAGGCAAGATAACCATCAGGGGATGAACGCATTTTGCAGAGAGAGAGAAAGAAAGGCCAGCGAAAGACATGAAACAGAAGAAGGCACGGACCGAGTCCGGCGAACGATATGTTAGCGCGCCACTAAACGCTTCAGCCAATCAAACCTACCACTCTCTGCCGCACTATTAGTAAGCCAACCCTCTTGTGTGGCAGTTGACAGGGGTTGCCTAGCCAACAACACTAGTGGGCCTTGGCCATGATAGATATCTGGCCCTACACCAGCCGTACATAGTCCAGTCATTCTTCTTCTACCTCTGGACGTACATCATTGATTCCTCTTATTTCAGTGGCAAGGACCGTACATCTTATAACTCGCAAGATCCGACAAAACCCCCCTTCCCCCGCCAACATCAAATCAGACACTCCGCCCAAAAACGCTCTGCAAGATCATCGCCCCTTTTCAAGAAGCAGAACGACCCCCCCCGCAAACACAACTTCACACCAACCACCAACCTTCAAGTCGTTGCGGCTTCCATAAAAACATTGTGTACACAAACCTCTCAGCGTCTGCCACCGGGTGTTCTCACCACCCCGCCTCCTGGTCCTAGCGTAGGTAGGTATCTGATAGATAAGGTACTTTACTTGTAGCGTGTTAGAGACAATCGGCGGTGTCGCGTGTAATTCTGCCGCGGTATGTAGCATGGCCGATATCACGACAACGACCTCTAGGTCAGATGGTGCAGATGCTTACATGTCTACCTACCTACTTACCTATTTACTTGGCTGTCTGCTTGATGTATCCGTAGAGTAGTGGTAGCTACACAGCGGAGTCTGACGTACCCATATATATACTCGTCGGCGCTGACTGTGCCTCTCTGTTCTTTTTTGAGGGTTCTTTCCTGGAGGAGGCGTATGGGTACTGTTGTCTATGCCAAGAGGGCGAGGGGTGCGTGGGTTTTGCAGTTGCGGTGGTAATGCGGGGGTGTGTGCGGTTGGTCGATGGGCTCTGCTGGTTATCTGTGTGCGTGGATTTGTGCGGTTGGGGATGGGGTGGGACGGTCAAGGATGTTGGCTGGAATCGTTGATGGTACAGATTTTGGGGTAGGTTTCTGGATTGAGGGGAATGAGTAGTGTGTTTGGATGTGCTCCATTGGGTTTTCGTGGAAGATGCACTCTATGTTTTGGCGAATCCAAGATAGTCGTTCGTTGCTATGTACGCTCCGAAACATTTTGCTTCCCGTATCGCAAAAAGACTCTGATTCGACCACATCACAGCTATATGCGCGATCGGCTTCTCAGTAAATAGCCTCTCATTCTCCTCCCTATAACAATATTCTTCCCCAAACCCTGGCCCTGATCGATCCGGCATGGTGTCGAAAATGCCTATCCGCCCATACACCCCATGTATCCCCACCGGCGCCGGCACGACACCCAGTCTTGATATCTTGTCGATATCCGTGCGGTGTTCTTCCCGCTGCAGCATCTTCGTCTTCTTCCGTCGCATCACCGGCACGCAGGATATCATCATCGCGTCCTGAGGGGGCGTCGTGTCCGATACCCGATGAGGGAAACGATGCGTTCTTCGGCCCTCTTGCGCGGGATCCATCCGTCCTCGCTATCGGGGAGGATTCTTTTTTGAACGGCATCGATTCGAGAAGTTCCGCCTTCTTGACAGCGGGAAGGAACCATGCCCTTGGCGCGTTTATTAATCACTAGCACCCAGTAGCCTAGGGGTTGCTCGTACATCAGCAACGCGACGTGTTTGTGTCCAGAAATTTAGCGCGGCGGGTTCGACGCTCGTGACGCCGGCTCCGAGATTCATGCATGGATGTGGACGAAGAAACCCTCTTGAGACGGTCTGCTTGCCGAAATGCTACCGTTCACAGCCGCTCAGGACCATTTTGGAGCGCGTAGCGGCGGGGTTTGCGTGGTGTTTAAGGGCGGAATCGCCGGGTGCCTTCTCCTTGGGCTTTGTTTGTGAGAAAGCCGTTGGAGACGACGATGGTGGATACGAGCTGTAGCTCTCGACGCGCCAGAGCAATTGTGACAGCAGGATGTTTTGCCAGAGACCGGCGAGGCAGTTGTTCTTGGGTGTGGTGGACATGGATCGTGCGAGACCGGGTACGGCCACTAATTTATCGGATTCTTTCGTGAGACCGGTACTCGAATTCTTCTCTAGAAATCGGCTCCATATGTAGTGTCCGTTCAAGCCTGCTATTTTTCGCTTGCGACAGGTCTTTGTTTCGCTGGTGTCACTTTCGTGGGTTGAGTAGCTGTTCTAGGAATCATGGTCGTGGGTGTCGCTATCCACATTTTGCCATTGGTCGTCCTCATTAGCCTCAGAATCATCATCACCACTGCGTTTACTATGGAACATTTCTCAGACTCATCGCCACTGCTGTAGGAGTCCTTGTCCGATTACATCGCCCCCGGTTTTTGTCCTCTTACGAATCCTCATCATCCGCTTTTTCAACTTTGAGGTTAGCACAGCGCAAGATGGCGCCATCGATCTCAAAGTCAATCCCCTTGAAACGAGTATGAACATTCTGCGCAACCTGCGGCAGGCCGTCAGAAAGAGCTCCGCAACCATCTTTAGTCTTGCATTCCCACAACATCTAATTCTAGGCATGGTGAGTTATTTCAGGCGACAGTATACGTTCTTACAGCACCCATGCGCGGCGATTGAGAGATGATTCGGACACGATCCCCCTCCAAAAGTCCAGAGGAACGATGAGGAGGCCTCCAGCTTCAAATTTGTTGAGTGCACAAATGCGGTCAGAGCAGCTCAACCAGCCAGACCAAATGACTTCATAAGATGAAGCTATCAACCATAATCCGTTGCAATCATTCCAGATCAGCGAGTGCTTCGAGACTAGAAGGACGGTAGATGATGAACAGACAAAACGAGACCAGCCGTCCAGTAGATGATTGAGAAAGATCTAGGAAGATTTAGATGTCAGACCATGGACGAGCCTTTCCAATAGAAAAGCCTCAAAAGGTAACTGTCCATCTTGCGGCCGTTAGGATGCTGCGAGGTGTGACGAATTGTACGATGTTCTTGAGTATTGTTGGTCACACGAGCCGATCCATGGCGCCCAGCTTCCCCGCACAGCTCAAGGAGGAACGGATCTGTGGCTGCCCGAGACCAGTTTTTAAAGGCCGTAGAACACAGTCCTTGATTGGATGGATACAGAGGCTGCAGGTTCCCTTGAAAGCAGCTGATGAGCTTGTTGCGCGCATTGAATAAAGTACGGACCCGGGTTTGAAAAGAAGAGATTTCCTGCAGAACACGTGAAGGATGCATGAAGCCACAGGAAACGATGGCGGCATGCAGCTTTCAAGCATTCCACTCGTTCCAAGATGCGCACGTATGGGATAATGGTGGCCAGCATGAAAAAGCAGAAGTTGGTTGATTGACGAATGATAATCGCAGTACAGATGGTCCAGCAATGGAGACGAAGAGCGGAACCCTACGCTCGCTACGTTCCCGGACCCCAGGCTAAGAATTAGGGTGCGGAGTTAGGGTATGGAGAAAGCGTCTGGGGTAGGTAGGTAACGTTAAAGTAATAATTAAGGTACATGTAGTAAGGTATCGAACCCCTCCACCAACCTCACATTAATTTCCATTAATCCGAACTCTCCAGCTTGCTTGC